CCCTCGCGGAGGCGTTCCCACCTAGGCCCTCCCTAAAGCCGCCTTGGTTGACGCTGAATGGAAGAGGTGGGCTCGGGACCTGCAGGTAGGCCTGGTTTGGGAGCAGGGCTGATTTCTAATGAAGTTTCTTCAGAGCCTGTAGTCACCTATGGGGCAGTTTGGGCAATAGCCGCGCGTCCCCCGCCCCGCCGCAGTGTGCCCAGTAAAGTTGTCAGAATTTCAGCAGGCAGAGGTCTGGCTCTTGGGGACCCTAGCTCTTCAAGGGTCAACCCAAGTGCCTCTGTTCCCTGACCTAGGCCATTCTTGAGTTTTTTCTTGGCGGGCCTCTTATTCCCTTCAGAAAGGAACTCGAATGTGACCATCGCTTTATCTGATATTATTGGAAAGGGGGGATTAGATTTGAATAACACCGTATTTACCTAATTCCAGGATCATTTGGAACCTTTCTAAAGTTCAGTTCTTTTTTTAAATCATTTTATTAGGGGCTCTTATAACATACTGTTCATTAATTGTATCAAGTGTATTTGTACCTATATTGGGATTGCCACCATCATTTCCAAACATTTTCTACTTGAACACTTGGTGCAAGCTCCGCTTTTTTACCATCCCTCTCCCACCCTCCCACCCTGGTGAATGCTTGATCAATTATATGTTATTATTATTTTGTATCTTACACTGTTTGCTGTCTCCCTTCACCCACATTTGTTCTTCGTCCCCTTCGGGAGGAGGGGGGAGCTATACAGTGTATATCCAACCTTGTGATGGGTTCCCCCCTTCTCCCCTTAACCCCTCCCTGACCATCCCCCTACACTCATGATATTGGTACTCTGACTACTGTTCAGTTCTTGACAAGAGACCACCTTGTCAAAGCAAGGAGACAGGGCTCTGTAGAAATGGCTGTCAAGAACTCCCTGGACTTTGCTGCTTGTGTATCCACTCAACAAACTCAAACAAACAAACAAACAAACAAACAAAACCCATACCCTCTGCCATTGCATCAGTTCTGACTCATAGTAGCCCTGTAGAGCACAGTAGGGTTTCGGATACTGTAGATCTTTATTGGAGCAGATGAGATTTCATTACTACGGTTTCTGTGTGACCATGCCTATCTCTAGTCTAAGTGGTGCAGTGAGAGGTGAAGGTGGTACTGATGACAGCTATTTAATCCCCACACACATACACATACCAGATTAAAATGAATACCGGAGAGAAACAAGGCTCCCTGCAAATGGCACAAAATGACTGCAAACCCAAGCACAATTCAAGATAGCGATGTTTTGTTTCATCAGGAGGTAGAGGGATCCCTCTGGACAGAACACTCAGTGGAAAAGGTTCATGAATTAAGGTCAAACCCTTGAGTGGCGAGATGGATTTTATACTTTTATTCCACACTTTTGTGAGTCTTTGTTATTTGTAGTAACCTTTAAGAGAAAAATTGTGACAAGGTCAATTTCTAACACTTATTCAGAAATATATATATTTAATCTTCCATGGAGGGATTTAAGTGCCTCAGTTCTTTAGTTATGTCAAATTCCTTGTATATCAAGTTCAAAGAAAATCTTCCAGTGCTTTTTGCACCTTCAAAAAATTCTAGAATACTCCAATGAGGAACTGTGAATTTATTCCAGTAACAGAACATAATGATATATGTATGTTGAAAATTGTATATAAAAAGTGATATTCTAAATATACATTCAGTTACAGAAAGAAAGCAATAACTCTGGTTACAGTTGTATTATGTAAAATATATAATAGGAAAGATGATGATCATTTAAAAAGTTTTTCCAATTATAAATCAGATAATTAAATTTTTTCAAAATATAGTTTATCTTTTAGATGTTTGAATTCTACCTTTAGAAATACTAGTATTCTCTCAAGAATAAAGGACACAATACAAATCAAAGAATTTTAATAGCTACTGAAATTATAGCTTTACTGATTTTCATACAAAATCATTTTATCTTTTTAGTGAAGACAAAAATACTGTAAATGGATAAGAAATCATTTTATATTTCAGTTATGCATATTCTTGAAAATAAACCTAAATGACTGAAGAATAAAATGTCAATTGCAAGTGAATTTTTGTTCTTTTGATGCATTACATTTAAACTCTCTTTGGTTTTTATAAGTCTTCTATTAGCTTAAATTCCATGTATATGATTAAATATATGAAATCTTTTAAGTAAGATCGTTCTTTACGATTGAATGTCCATGTATTCTTTGTGATGGAATGGTAACCTAATTTCCCCTCCTAATGTCTATGCAATACCAACATGCTAGATGGAACTGAGAGAGAAGAATAATAAGACATGTCAGCACTTTAGAGAGGCTTGCGATTTTAAAAGAATATTTATTAACATTTCCACAATAAGTGCTACTTTAATTTGGAGGTCAATGTTTGCCTTGCTGTATCAGCTGAATTCTTTATATTGAATAAAACAAAACAATGAATGCAGTAGAGGGCATCCCAGTTCCACATAATCTTAGTGTTGTTCCCCTGTTGATAAAAATCGAGTTTCTAGCGTGAGAGCCTGAAATAGCTCAAATCGGGAAGCTGAGCTATGATTGGAGTACTTTGCTATAGAACTCTCACTTTGCAACCCAATTGAGAGCAGAAAATGAGAAGGCTGACTGGTTGCGTGGACAGTAGTAAAGGAGACAAAACATGAAAGGCATTGTCATCTTGAGGAAGTTACACCTTGAATGATAAGATGTTGAATGGATGATGTTTTAAACTCAGAATCCACAAGTGTGGGGTAAGACATTCAAGAAACTGTGCATGATTTTGTACTTGTGAAGAATAAAATACAAGGTAAAGGTAATAAAAAGTACGACTAGATACGTCGGAGGAGGCCAGTTTGAGAACACATGCAAAGTGGAGCCAAGGAGTTAACTCCACCCTGGAAGTAAGAATTTGCCATTGCATAGTTTTGTTAAAGAAAAAGTCACAATGCTTGAGAGGAATTATGTTAGTAACTGTAGTTGAGAAGAGGCAAAGCTACACTAAAAGCTTATATAAATATCAAAAACAACACAGAGCAAGCACCAAACTGTTGGAGCTTAAATACTAGGTTAATGCATTAATGGAATGATGAAAATGAATCACATGGATTCACAGTAGACTGATAAAGAAAGCTTTGGGCAAGACAAAGGAAAGGTCAAATCTCACTGGAAGAAAGGGAGCAATTTTGGAAGAAAAAAAAAACAGTGGATTCTGGAAAAGAGCTTGAACAGGAATATGGAAAAAAGAAGACTCGGAACAAAGGAACGTGGTGGGCTCACTAACTAATAAATGTTTTCTTTATAGAACACATATGCTGTGTTATAATCCATTGTTTTTTATGTTACTTTTCACATTATTTCAATCAGAGCTCCAAAATTCATTATCTGAAGGCTACAAACGGACAAATTTGTTTTAATTTGGGAGAAGGACATGGAAGTTTCCATGGAGACTGCAACCTTGGAAACCCTGTGGGACAATTCTACTCCATCCTACAGAGTTGTTAAGAGATGAAATAGACTCTATGGTACCTGGTTTATTTTAAAATA